GCGTGTGTGTGTGAGTGTGTGCGTGTGTGTGTGAGTGTGTGTGTGTGGCCCCTCATAGAGGAGTTCATACATTTGTCTAAATGTGTCACAGATGAACGGGTCTGATGAACATGAGGCTCATTTAGAGGATTTATCTGTGTCCCTAAAGCAGTGCTATTTTAGTATTTTATATACTATTAAAGTATTTATTTATTTCGATTTGGAATAAGTGTTCATTTCTAAAAATTAGAAGCATTTTTTTTTTTTTTTGCATTTTTTAAGTTTAATTCTAAGTAATTTTGTTTTAATCACTTGTCATTTGTATTAGTTTTTTTAAAATGTAGTTTTATTTCAGTTTTAGTAACTTTAGTACTTAAGGCAGGTGAGTATGGTAAAAAATGAACTAACAGACGTTATCTAGGCATTCTCTAATTAAATATGTACTAATTTGAATACATTTCCAGAATCTGAAGATTGGATAAATCAGGTTCATAATTCTTGATTTTGTTGTCATATTAGAGTAAAAGGTTTTTCTCCATAAATCAGAAAAGACTGTCAGCAGACAGAAAACAGACACATTTTCACCATGTTTTAGGAGTAAACGGCTTTATAAATCAGTGTGAATGAAATATGAACAAACCTTCAGAATACAGAGAGAAATAAAACTGTAAAGTTTGCTGTTTATAAGTGAAAAAACTCTTTAAAGATTGAAATCTACAGACACATAGATAAAGTGCAATAAAATAAACACTTAAAAGTGTATGAAAAAAACTTTATGAAAAGCCAAAATCTTAAAATGAACAGATGCATGAAACAACTGTGTTTTTGCCTGTAGTGTATCGCCTTAAATATACTTATTTATAATGTTTAAGTTCATTTTCATCCAATATTTATCTTTTATTTTATTTTTTAAATGGTTTTAGTTAGCAATAACAAAGCAGACACACTCACCCTGAGCTGTCCAGTGAAAACCTCCTGTTTGCTTTTTTACTTCCCATCATGCTGTGCGGTGCGGTTCAGGCGGATACAGATCGTCTCTATTGAGCGGCGGCCTGCAGATCTGTGTGTTATATGCATCCATCACATCAGTCTGATCTCACTGCAGTAAGTAACAGCTGTGACCACGCCCACGACTGCCCAGAGCCACACCCACTGCAAGCCACAGCCACTCCCACCAACCGTTACCAGCGCTGCGTCTGAAACCTGGAGGATGTTGCTGTCAGGCGGATCTTAACAGCATTTAATAAACTCTGGAGTCTTCAGGTGTTTGTTTGTTTGTGTCAGTGCTGCTTCTGGATCATTAGATGTTACTCCCTGAAACACTGTCTGAATGAGCGGCTGCTTCGGGGTCAGATGACGCCCTTGTGTGTTCATTAGCCCCGCCCCCATCCCACATGAGGCCACGCCCTCAGATCAGTGTGTTCTTCAAAAGCACATGACTGCTGCACCTGCACAGATGCTATCAGACACACCAGACATCTCTCAAGATTCACCGTCACTGCAGTTGAACAAAGAGAAAGTAACAGAGAGAACATGAGACGGATATCATACAACCCAACCGCCTTACAGTGAAAAAAAGTGACGACGTGCAGCCAAGTGTGGTGTCCCATACTCGGAATTTGTGCTCTGCATTTAAGCCATCCAAGTGCACACACACAGCAGTGAGTAGTGAACACACACACACACACTCTCAATTACACACACACACACACACTCACACACACACACACACACACACACACACAC